AAGCTCAAGAAATGAATGCGAGTGGATCGCACCGTCCTGAGGGCAGGTGTATTACACAATACGAATGAACTAGATTAGCCACTGACTCCCTCTGCGGAGTGAAGACGAAGGATTTTATTATTATTATTATTATTATATTATTAATCCAGTTGAGCTTTTCTGCCATACTGGTGTTTCCGAACAAATTGCGCAAGTCAAGCCTGAATGCTCAGGTCGATTTCTGCTCAAATCTTCTTCCCAATAAGCGCTGAACAAAAGAAACTCATTTTTCTAATCGATTAATCCAGCACGTTCCTGCACCTATTCTCTTATCACACGGTCAGATAATTTTGAATCACACTTGTGGATTGTGGAACATTTTAATGGCAACCTATGGCACATTCAGATGGAGAAGCTGAATGAAATACATGAAAGTAAAAAAACTACACAGTATGTAGTCAGCCACCTGGTTTCTAATCTCCATTTCGAACCTGTCAGCCCAAAAGGGTCGCAGATGGATGACAATTACCTCTCATTTTGGCAAACTTTTATTCACTTATGATTTGTCATACGTGAAGCAACAATACGTCCTAAGGTCATCGGTACGCATGTGTTCGTTGAAACCTCCGCAATTGCCTCGGCCCATAAACGGCTTGTCTCTGAGTGTTGGGAGTATGAAAGGTTATAAAGCACGTTCCTCAGTTTGCCATTTATTCCCCACGCCTGAAAAAATTATCTTGTCGGTTTCCTTCCAGTGGTGAGCTGAAGTAACCATATGTTCCTTTAATTTCCAGTTTAAAGTGTTTTGTAACTTCAAGATCAGCGAATTAAGAGGTGTTTATAAGTGTGAACTGTTATGCGTGATTAAACATCAGGGGGGAAATTGTTCCTGCAGTGGGGAAGCAATATCTGTGGTCTTGCAGTACGGAACTGCAGAACCCAGAGGTCAACTAAGTCATCTTCCCTGATTTATTAGGGAATCACTTAAACCTAAAATTAATGGTAAAGTAAAATCAAGGTCAAATTTATGGTTATCCTAGTAAAGCTAGACAATATGGGGAAACATAGATTAGCGGTAGTGACGTAGTAGCCTCTTATCTACATCAGGCATGAACGTAACGGCAAACCAGTTTGTGCATTCCCACAAAGAGAATAGCCGAGTCACGTTGCTATGACAAACATACTGCAGCCTGTCATACAAGCTAACAGCCGAAAGTTTTTCCTCTCTTCCTGGAGCGGTCCTGATGGAAGTACTCAGAGTTAAGCGATGACTTCTGTCGATCTTTGAAATCTGAGGCATTGGCCAAAGATTTTTCCTTTAGCGTGTGGGTTTACCGACATACTTTTGCAGTGTCAAAATTCTGACCAAAATATATTATTTAGCCATCTAGACGAGATATTCATCTCCCTACTAGACGTGGTTAGTGGAGATGTTGGTCTCGCTCATCGCTAGAAGCCAATCAGCAATGATTTTCTAGACAACGTTGTTAGTACGGAGTTACCAACAAAACAATCTACCAGTTAGTCACGTGTTACTAGACAAAACGATTAGGAAATCTGTTCAATTTTCAGTACACTCAATGGACTAAATAGGTGACTCGTTTTGCCTGAACCCTGACCTTGTTTTGAAAATTTCTGTAAGATACGACACCAACCGTTTTCACCGGAGAACCCAGCAGTGTGTGATAAGGAGCTTTTATTTCAGGCCTGTTGAATTTTTTCAAGGAAAACCTGTCTTCGCCAAAGTAAATAGCTTTTCGTGGTTGGGTAGCAGTGTAGTACCGGCGGTTACGTTAGCATTACCTGGTTAGTCCTTATGATGGTCTATTTTTAGATGTTTTGCCCTGAAACTTGGTGGACGGAAAAAGCCTCCTTCGACTATTCAAGGGAGTAGCCTCTCACTGAAGGTCTTGATTTAAAAAGCTCCTATACGGAGCATTCATCTATATCACAGAGATCGCGATTTAAGTTAAAACATCTTTTGGGCTTCAGTGACCAGAAAGTTGACGAAACTACCTACAGCAAACCTCCTTTCAGGCCCAAAACGTTTGCAGTATGTCAACATAGAAGCCATGCTCGCCGTCCCATTGCAGAGTAGATACGGCGGCAAACCACTCTAAACATCATTGTAATCAGGGCCTATGGATCTCATTCTCATGAGCCTCTTACACCAAGATTAGATGCGCTGACGATGCTTTCACGGAGTAAATGGAATAAATTTTACTTAGAATAAAATGCCTGAGAACGAGGCATTCCGTGGGCTAAGGTTAGACCACATTGTGTCGTGTTGTATCCTCTAGCTACGTGGATAGATAGCCAAACTTTTGTTCTGGATAATCACTGTTTATCAATATCTTCCTGAGACAGACAATTATTACATTGTGTGCATCACCTACTCAGCCCATGCCATCAAACTTCAGACCACAGATGTCTATACAGTTAAGCTTAACTGCCCTCTTGTACGGATTGTTCGATATCGCGATAAACTGGGTTACCGTTGTACCAGCCACAGTGCAAGGCTTTCTTGGAGCACCACAGGTTTTTGTGATATCCTTAGTTTACTACGTACTCCTGGAAACAACGTTTGCAATAGTCATTGATGACCAAATAAAGTTGGCGTTATGTAGATGTACTGTTATCGACATAAAAATCGATCTCGGACTTTGTATCGACCGACAAACCTTGACCACAACCGCCGCTCACTCGAGTAGAAAGGTTGATTGAAATATTTCGCGTTTCACTCCATTTTTTAACTAAAATGCCAAAGGTTCTCCGACTACCGAGATCTAGTGTGCTGGGACGGCAAAGACGCCTGGAAAATCTACCAGAATTACTTGCTACTGTAGATGCCACGAATATTTACCAAACGATTTTGCGCACATAGTTGAAGAATGACGCCACGGGAAACTTTGTTTCAATCACTGAAGAAATGATGCATCGGCTGTTTGCAAAAAGCGACCAAGTTTGTTCATTTTATCAATCACTATGCGCTCATCCCGCGTTCAAATAGATCCTTGGCCATTGACCAGTTGCAGAAATCTAATTTTGAGAATCCATTGATCGGTTTCAGGGAAAAACCTTCGTACTGACTCGCGAAGTTAAAATTAACCCCGAACGGCTCAAGTAGTGGCGCTAACTGGAAAAAGCTAGACTTTACAGCGGTTGCATGGCATAATATATGCGTTACCTGACAAGCTTGCTTAGATCTAACATTGTTCCAGGAATTTTTAAGATATTGTAATACAGACTGGTTGGAAGTTACCGTTATTTGTTTCTGGTCTCAATCAAACCGTCGTATTCGTAAAGGGATGGATCAATTTTTCTGAGCCCAAAAAAGATCGGAGTTGAAGAATCAAGCATAATATGGTGCATTGTTTGCAACAGTTGTTGGGAGGTTTTTCCTTGTGTGTATGATTACCATTCACCATGACAACGTCCTAATCTTGTGCGAGAGAAAGCACAATCGATATGGTTTTCATAAATGTGTGCATGACTCAAAAGCGAACGTCCATTGGACCAAAAGTCTGGGTGATATATTCTGTGTTGTTGTGTTTCACGCCGTCGAGAATGACAGTTTTCTAACCCAACGAATTCCTGTTAAAGTTGCGCCGCCACCTTTGTAAAACGAACTCTTCCGCATTCTATTGTTGTACCCTTCGCGTCAAAAACTTAGTCAATACACTGGAGAACAGACTGTCTTTCGAAACAAAACACTATGTGACCTCCGTCCAGTCTAACTGATTTATTCAGTAGGATCATNTTCCTTGATGTATCTTCTCCCTGTTTTCACCATTGAACAGGTACCATCGCCGTTGTTAGTTTGTTAACCGGTGATTTCCTGGAGAAGAAAGTACGCTCTGAAATGCAGAATTTCGGTATGATTGCAAAATGTAACCCTATATGTATTGAAACGTTCTCTTATTCACTTAATTTTTTTGCGAAATGAAGAATGTTTTGTCTGAATCCTCTCTCTGTGTGTCTGTTTGTGCAGACACACACAGATTTCCCTTAGATACCGTGGCTAACCTGTTTCCTGTTCTTATTGCCAAGTCACTTGTTCTGTTTAACCAAGTCGTTGTTCTCACCCAGATCACGGGGAACCATTAACTTTGCCCAATCCTGCTTACCTGAACCATTCTTTGAAAAGTGACCAGCGCTTGTAGAGCTGCAAAAATGTCTAAGGGGTACAGGCTGACCCTATTCGTAGCATTAACGTTGGGAACAAATAAAGAAGAACACGCTCGTTTCTTACCGTTGCCAGCTGGCAAAACGTCTTTTAGCAAAAGTGAATTGATTCAGATAGGTGGGCTAGATCTGTCGTCTGTACGGTGAATTTTTTCTCACGAACACGTGGAAACACGATTCCTATTGTCTTCTACGGCGAGCAACAAATTTCCGTGTGAAAGGCGAGTTCCGGCTTTTCGTCAGAATAATTTGCTCTAGGATATCGTTCTTAAAAAGACTTTGTAAATATCAAATCTCACACGACATGTTATGGCATGGACACACGAATAGCATTTCTTGTTTACTATACTGTATGTACTGTTTTTTTTCTACCGTAAACCTACTTGATACAGTCAGCAACTCTGATTACTTGCCAGCTATGAGAGGTTTGTAGTTCACAAACTGTGCTCAAAGCGCCGTATGGGGATTATCACGTGTTTGACCCCGAACCGGACAAGAGAATTATAAAATTTCATACCAAGCCCTTCGTAAACTCATTGGCACTAGATAGACAATATTGACAGAATATTGACACTTGGTCGCAGATTATTGACAGACACTGAAAACTTGCGTGCATTATTCAAAGACCCTCCTATAAGATTTGCAGTCTGATCTGACTTAAAAATGGGCTGCACGTTTTCCTGCACACTCGACCTCAAAGACTGGCTTGGATTAACGGCGCATATCCTCAAACACAGGGTATTCTAAAAGGACCTTTCCAAATTCGCTTTTTGAAAAGCTTTTAGCCCTCGTACGATAAAACTAGACTGCAGTACCCCCCCCCCTGAGATAAACTGACAGGGCGAAAAAACTCAATGCTGCTTAGCTTGGTTTCAAACTTACAGGGCGGTTTTGCGCTAACATGCTTCTGCCAACCGTGGTTTTGGTCGCTTTTTATCTCAACAGTGTTAAGTTTCGTTTTATTCTTTGTCCCATCAAAAATAGTAAAAGCTGCTCCAGGGAATGACACTTTGGCCATGTCACAACAGAGTATGGATGACTCTGAGTGGTCTACTGATATTCGCGTCAGATGCGCGCCTGCGTTGGCCCTGGCTGTGGGCCTGACACAAGTAAGTTTGCTGATTGGTTGGCTAATCCCAGGCATTTCTTTCGGTTTTTTAAGAAAGCTTCAACAACAAAAAAATCACGCCGCTAAACATTTCTGTTCTTTGCCTTGGGAAACAGTATTATTGTGCAAAGTAGACTATGTTTAACGTAGATTTGAAAACCGAGTTAGTGATCCTGATTGATTTCAAGTCCAAAAGGCTCTTCAGTTTTTCATAATCTTATATTTGAAAGCAAAAAGTGTACTCAGGTCAGGAAAGTTACGCGGACGTTCAAACTATCCGATCTCTTAGCCGTCCATAAGGTTTTGGGAGCATCAGTGAAATTCTTTCCCGAGGAATTCCATTTTGAGGACCCGACAGTGTGCTACCGTTTGTCTTACGTTTTCAAAATCCTTCAAACTGGATATTCATATGAGTCAACCGATTAGCTCTTTATCTGAGATTGGTATTCCGGTTTGTGTACACTTCATACCTCTCAATCGATGACGTGAATTACTAAAATTCGCACTATTATAGCCGAAAGAGTTTGGGTCATATGCGGATCTCATTTGGCTGATCATTGTCTTGATCGAACGCTGGTTAGGCGATCATTTAAAACGGTTGGTGAACAATGGAGCGGAGATTTTTATTCAGTACAAAACAAGAGTGCCTGTTTCTTACATCTTCTAAGGCTCATACCCTCCTTCCTTCAACAAGCCCATTTGCAATTTCGATCTGCGCCGGGCCTAAATACCGCTTAGTAAGTCAGCTCAGTAAAGGCTGAAACCTTTCTGGAGTAAGGATCATTCCGTCTGTTTTTTACGCATTCAACAGAGGGGCCGCTACGTCTTCTACACAGCTTCCTAAGCCAGCTCGCCTATTTGAAACCGAAATAATGGGACGGTAGGGAAGTTTGGGGCACCAATTTTTCGCATTACGTGTTTTACACCTGTTGATTAAGGCAATTTTCTAGCAAACTGGAAGTCTGAGTTCAAACAGCTGATATCAGATCATTCATTGCAATTCATCGGGGGCAGATCTGTGGTAAAAAATAAATGAGTGCGGAACTTATACTTGATTAGGCAACTAACATGCACTTCAAGGATTCTAATCGCATGAAATGTCAGTTAGATTCGAGTTGATGCAACAAGAACATATAATAAAGCTTTTTGGCAAAGTATTAGCCTCGTAATAACCATCCCCAACATTTTTCTAAAAGCTGTCTTTCACTCTCTTACAGTTTTTTATGGGATTATTACAACTTGGCATTGTCACTCGATACCTCTCTGGCCCGATGATATCAGGATACACCGTGGGAGTCGCATGTCACGTGCTAACAAGTCAAGTCACCACAATACTTGGAGTACAAATTCAGAAACCCAGTGGAATTTTTGCACTTCCGAAAGTGAGCTTCACAAGAAATAATTTCATCGGAGCATAAGTATCACCTTGCATCACCACTTTGCTAACAGCCAGAGCTAAGATCCGACCACTCTGCAGGCAANTGCTAACAGCCAGAGCTGATATCCGACTACACTCTGCAGGCAAAAGCTTCCTCATAAAAGCCAGTTTTACAGAATAATGTTTTCAAATATTGTCATATACTTGCTAGTCCGGCATAAAAAACTATAAAAAATAAGAATGAATTCGGTCATATTTGGAGGAACATGTTAGTTTGTACAGCAACAAAATAAAGCCACATAAATAAGGAAAAGAATCACTTGCGAATCAGAGTCTCACACCTTGTTTATCCTAGAATAGAATTCGCCAACAAAATCATGAAGTTAGCGGTTCCTTTAGATCTTTTGGGCGCGTGCGATGACAGGGGAGACGAAGATATCATATTGATGAAGTGCGACAGAAGACGTTTTAGGTCACATCTTACGCAATCGCAGGCGAGACTTGGAAACTCCTATACTTCACAATTTGAAATTACTCCACCGTGACACCGAGTTTTTTTTATGAATATCTTTTAATTTTGTCACATTTCTGTATCCTACCGTGGCGTCACACTTCCAACGTGCATGGTTTTATCTGCAGGTCAGAGCGAAAGTCCCGATGTCAGGAAAACAGGTTCCAGATTTATCCATTCAACAGTCTGTCTAGGATCTGTTTGAGATGGTTCAGATATTGGCAGGGATGCGATCTTGAACTGAGCTGACAGAAATGCAGTCATAAGATTCTTTATGTGCTAGCCCCTTTAGCCTTT